GAAAGAGTGGTGGTGGAAGACCCTTTGTCCAGGGTTGGACACACACACACACACACCCCTTCGTCCATGCCTGTCACCACGGTGGTCTCTACTTCGCTCCGGTCACCTATCGACCGGTCCACCCAGGCGTTGGAAGACGAGACACGGCCTTTGGCGACCGGAGAATGGTGTGGTGAGGCGCGACAGATGCGACAGATGGCGCAGCGTGGCGCGCCAGATGGGTTGACCCCACCAAATCATCAAACAGATCCTACAAGTACCTGCTGTTAAGTCATCTGGTCTTGTAGAAAGTCGTCTGGATGCTGCGTTTACAATGGGGTTAGATGCAAGATGGCAATATAACTGGAAGAGTGTCAGGTCAACATTGTTTGGATGCTGCGTTTACATGCGGTTTAGGTGCAAGATGTCAATATGATTGGATTATATGCTTTGGAATATCAGTTCGACACCATTGTCGGTGGATACCTCGACTCGCACGGCACTCCCGCCAGTGTAGCCATATATGCTTAAATCAATCGAGACAGACCGCTGACTGTTGGAATCGCCGACTGATTCAAATCCGTTTGAGCCGGGCCAGAACAAGTAGAAAAGGTTCGTGTAGTCTGAGCATGCTGCATCTATGTTTGCAGGCTAATCGGCTAATCTTCATGATAGTCCTACTCTTGTATTCTGATTAGGTTTCGGTCACCAAAACGTTGCAAGCTTCGACATAAATCTAGTTCTTTTGTGCACAGGGCCAATGAGTTCCTGATGTATAGCAGTTTTGACAAACATACTTCCGTGGAGCGTTTACATGGTGTTTTAACATAAAGCGGGTGACTTTTCGCAAGCCAGGTGACTTTTGACTAATGATTAATGCTGCGTTTATATGCGGCCGGGTGACTTTCTGCAAACCCGGGTGACTAAACCCCGGCGCTTGTACCGAAAAGAAGCCAAGCTACCTGATCCGGCTGGTTCACGGATGCTTGTTTTGCGCACTTTGGACCCATTTGCTGAAGCCTTCAACTCTTGCAGATGAAGAGCCACACGGTCGAAATTCGGCACGCCCCGTGGCAGGTACTCAGTGCAGCACTGGACAAAATTTCGTGCCGACGCAGAAGAGCTTCTGTACATCTTGAGGAACCAGGTTCCTGCAAACGGCAAGGAGATGTGAGATCTCATCACTTTGTCATTCCAGGTTATTATAATTATACAAATGATATTTCAGGCACAAACAATGGGCTCTTCCACTGAAATTGGGTCCAACCTGGCCCTCTCATGGATCACTCATTCTGCTGTCCCCAATCTTGAGTGATCCCCGAAAGGTCCCCAGGCTCTCGTCCAGCTCTCTCACCGCGCGCCTAAACCAACGAACGACTTCTGCTAGGAGTGGTCGCTCCACCTCTTGAACAAGGCCTATTGCTCCGCCTGTCGGCGCTATGGTTCCTGGGACCGACTCCACTTGTGCTTGCCACTTGGTTCGGACGCCGAGGGCAAGAGGAGTGGTGGAAGGGGTGTTGACGCCCGGCCGAAACGCCCATCTAGCTTCTGGTTTGTTCAGACAGGTGAACGTGAATGAAAGGAAGCGACATGCTGCACCAGAACCTGTGACCAGCTGCCAAACATACAACAGCAACAGGAAGGATGGTGGGAAGGCCGCAGCATGCCAAAGCATGCCACAGCATACAACACTCAGCAGCAGATCAGAAGCATCAAGAGCTCAACATCAATCCACCCAACAAGCGATTGCAGACAGCTAAGTTGAGGACGTGAGGCTCCTCTTTAGTTTTAAACATACTTGAAACAAGCATGGTGGAGTGATCAATCACGTGGACAGCTGAGATCTCCTCCGTCTCAAAGCTTGAGGTCTCAGTCTCGGCGATCCCAGTGTTGAATGTCAGATGGTAAGACTTTAATGGCACGTTGAATTCTTAGTTTCTAGATTGACGAATTGTCACATTCAATAGGTTCAGCAAGCCAGCTCGCTGGATGGTGGTCGTTCTTCGATCCTGATTGGAAAGGATGGTGGCTCCATTTCACCGGATAGTGGCTTCTTGGATGGTCGACCCTAATCTGGCGACATCGGGGCACACACACCCACAAACACCCAAGAAAAGTAACAAGCAAAACACGTACAAGCAAATAAGAGAACGCAACCGAGCCGGTGAAACTGGAGCTCTAAACGAAGGAACAGTTGAACGAAGAAACAAGCTCAGGAGCCAGGGTGGAGTTAAACCACCATTGAAGTGTGCTTCAAACTCAAAGCCAGGAACTGGCTCCTAGCTCCTTCTTTAAAGATATAGATGATATGCAGCCGTAGCGAGCGTCCGGCGTAATGTGTCACGCGATCGGAGTGTGCGGCTCAAAGAGGCCTTTGGGCCAGGCCTCCTCGTGCCATGGAGCCGGGTTGCCTGGGTCAACTGATGGACCTGGGCTGGAGCAGATCCTCGCTGGCCTTCTTCCACGACATGCCGGCGGGGGAGGTCAGGGGTTTGCTTCCCTTGGTGGCGGAAGCTTGGACAGAACAGGAGTTCGCTTGGCTGCAGACGGAAGCTAAGCGACAGAGGTTGAAGCTCGACCTTGAAGACCACCTGTTTCTCCAGCACCAACGACTGTTATACAAAGACCAGGCGCTGATCAACAAGAAGATCGACGAGACCTCTTTTGGAGAGGCAAGGATCGGCACCTCCCTGGTCTTGGCACGGAAGACTTTGCCCCGGGTGAGCTGGAGGACACGTGGTGACCGGCTTCTTCAGGGTTGCGACACTGAAGAGCAACGCAAGGAGGTTGAGGAGAGAGAACGTGACAGGTGGATCGCACACTTGGTGGACTTCCTGGAACAGGCGCAACTCATCGAGAAGGGCAAGAGAGGTCCGGAAGGGTTGAAGTACTATGCCAACCGCTTCGCCATGGGGAGGCGGGCGTCCACGATACGCCAACATGTCCTTCACGGACGGCATCTGATGGTGTACATGCAGAATGTGTACTCTGCCCCTTGGCTGCGCCATGAGGGCGATCTCATAGCGTATATAGCCCTTCGGATGGAAGAACCTTGCGGCCGCACCATCCCAGGGTCCTATTTCAAGGCCGTCGCCTTTCTCGAAATGTCTGCCGAGCTTCCGGAGGACCGCAAGGTGACAGGCAGTGCATCCCTCCACCACTTCTTGCTTGAGGTCGAGCGGGGGGACCATTGGAAGGCGAAGCCCACAGTTAAGGCTGCTCGGCTGCCAGTGGAGGCAATCCGGGCTCTTGAGATGGGGGTCATGGATCGCACGATCGCCCCCTACAAGAGAGTCTTTTCATGGTTTAAGCTCATTAAAATGTGGGCAGCATTGCGCTGTCACGACGCGGAGGGCATCCCGCCCGCAAGCATCTCCTTCGACGCCGACCTGGGTTTTGAGGCTGACATCACCCGATCGAAGACAACGGGGGCAGGACGCCGTGTAGAAGTGGTCCAGGTGTTCGTCAGCTCCTCGGCATATTTGGTTTGTAAGGACTGGTTGCGGGTGGGCTTGGAGATCTTCATGGGCATGGGCAAGGAGATCGGCACCGGCATGAGGGACTACTTGATGGCTCGACCGGACAACCGGTTGCAGGGCTTTCGCAAGTCCATGCTCAAGTACCAGGACGCCATGACCTACTCGAGGGCATTGCTATCGGAGCTTCCGTCCAGGTTGAAGGATGGCGCAGACAGGGCGGTCCCTCTGTTGCAGCCGGAGTCCACGGCCTACTTCTCGGAGCACTCGGAGCGGGTGACGATCATGAGCTGGGCGGCAGTATGCGAGGTGGACAAGGAGGTCCGCAGAAGATGGGGCAGGTGGCGACCCAGTGTTGATGAGGGCTATGTCACGACCACCAGGAAGTTGACGTTCGAAGCCCAGAAGAAGGTGGCGGAGAAGGTCAGGTCGACCTATGGAGTGTTTGACTTGGTTGACGACCTGGCCACGATCAAGAACTTCACACTATGGCTTCAAGACGTGCACTTGAAGTCGCCGAGCCAGGCAAATCGAGAGGCCCAGGCCATTGCGCCCCCTCAATGGGGAATGACCTTCACCCCAGTGAGGTTGCCGTTGGCAGAAGAGGAGGAGGTTGTGAAGGTGACGGCATCGGATTCGGAGAATGTGGATGAAGACCATGGCCAGGCCGTTTGTGAGACACCAGAGCATTGGTCGCCGACAGAGGTCTTCTCGGAGGAGGAGGACGGGAACACCGACGTGGCAGACAGCGGAGATCAGTTTCCGCTGGGGACGTATGTGCTGTCGATCGTTGGGAGGTCCCGGACACGCACTTTGCATGTGATGGGAGGCTGCTACCGTATTCCCGGAGTTCACTACAGGGAGTACGTGGTCATTGGGGCTGACCGCCCAGAGCTGGATCCCAAGCAAGGAGAGAAAGCATGCTCTACCTGCTTCTCGGCTAGGGAGAAGATGGCGGATGTGATCCAGGCCGGTGCGGACGCTGAGGTGTTGAGCGAGTTGGCATCGTCCTCATCAGAGGAGGAAGGAGAGCCGGAGCGCTCGGCCGGAGCAGCCTGAGACTGAAAGGAAGTCTCGAACTGTGGACTGGACTTGTGAAAACAAGCTGGGTGTTTGGGCGGGGCTGGATGCCACCAGGTTGGGTTCTCTCGACATCGTTCGTGTTTGGTGGGTTGGTCGGAGGTCGGTTTTTCGGTTACATTTTGGTTCCAGCCTGGAGGGCTCGGGTATCCCCCCTCGGAGGGGGGGGTACTCGTGGGACGGGCGCAAGGCCCAAGCCATGGCGGGGCTGACGGACCGCGAGAAGATCGCGGCATTGGCCCCTGACTTGCAGGGGTTACTGGACTCCCGGAGGGTGCCAGAGGCCACACAGGCCGGTCTTCATGACCTGGGGATCGACAACTTGGCTATGTTGTCTGCGGTGGCCATAGACCGCACATCGTTGGAGACACTGGCTCGGAGCAGCCTTGGAATCGATGTGACAGCCAGGCCGGCAGACGCGATCATTTTCGCGTCATTGTTTTTGGCGTGGCAGTCCGCCACAAAGAGGATGGAAGCCAGGAACGAGCTGGAGGCGGAAGCGGTGGCCACCGAAGGCCATCCCTAATGTAGAGATGCAGCTGTTCCGGGTTGAGTTTGAGAAAAGGTTCTTTCGTTTGAAGGACGCGGAGTGCCCCGGTAAGCCAAGCTTTGAAGATCTGTGCGAACAGATTGATTCAGGAGAGCTGCGACCTATGGCACTCAGGCACTTTGGCTCACGCAATGAAGATGATGAAGCCGAGACGGGGAACATCCACGTGGGCAAGACGGGCGTTCTGAAGATCAAGAAGGCAAAGGTTGAGACATCGTCGCCCTCCAACATGGAGGAGTTCAGGAGCAAGATCATGTTAATGATCAACCACTTCATATTTGCACGTTTCAGGTACCCCAGCAAGGAGATCCTGAAGGACATCAACCCGTTCGTGGCCATGGAGTACCTGAACTACATCTGCTCGAAGGATGTGGCACAGTTGGAGTCCCAGACAGTGGATGGGGTCACACTGCACAGGCCCTCACTGAAGTTAATCATCAACTATGAGTACCAGATGCGGAAGGAGGCGGTCGATGAGATTAACAAGGGCATGGACTTCGTGTCGGCGTTGAAGGCGGTGACCAAGAACCCAGATGTTCGTGAGAGGCACTTCAGCACGCCGCTGGCGGTCTCCTCGGCCACTCAGAGCGTGCAGGACCCATGGAGGAGCAAGAACAGGAGCTCGGATAGGCCGCAACCCTACGACGTAAACTATGTCAAGGGCAAGAACAAGGGCAAGGGCAAGGGCAAGAAAGGAAAGGGGAAAACCAAGCAGGGAGGCCTGCAAGGGAGCACGCCTGATGGGCGACAGATCTGCTTCGCTTGGAACAACGCCCAGGAGAAGTGCACTGGAGGATGCGGCCGAGTTCATTGCTGCAGGATCTGCTTGTCCCCGGATCACCCCAGCTATGAGCACCCTGATGCACCGAAGCCCCCTTGACTAGGGGCAGAGACAGAAGCAGAAGGAGCCGATGCATGCCAAGAATTCAGAGTCCTTTATTTGTTTGCTGGTCCCCAACGGGACACGGGCATCCCTGAAGTTTTGCAGCGATTGGCCGCGACCACCCCGAAACGTTGTTCGATGGTGGTGGACACCTTTGATATCCTGCGGTCAACTTCGCATGATCTTCTGGACAAAGCCCTCCAAGAGGACCTCATCCAGAAGTTGAAGAACAGCTGTTACCAAGCGGTGATCATGTCACCACCTTGTGCGACTTGGAGTCGCGCACCTTGGGCCAACGAATTTGGTCCCAAGCCTTTGCGTTCATCAGTCCATCCACTGGGGTTTCCATGGCTGGAAGGCCATAAGCTGGACAAGGTAAGCAAGAGCAATGCCATGGTTGAGTTTTGCCTTCAGGTCATCTCCCTTGCTATCCAACTGGGCTTGGCTTTCTTGTTGGAACACCCGGAAGATTTGGGAGCAACCACGAGATGGGGGGGAGACACTAGACCTGCCTCAATCTGGCAGCTGCTTCCCATGGTTTCTTGGGTTCATGCTGGTGACGCCCTTACTGGTGCATTTTATCAATGCCAACTTGGTGCCACATCACCTAAACCGACTCGGTTGCTGCATAACTTGCCAGGTCTGCAACGCTACCTTGCTGCAGGGCTTCCCCTCTTGGACGGCGCCAACCTCTACCAGGGCCCCCTACCCAAGAACTGCAACTGCGGTCGGCGCCACACTCGCCTCATTCGCCAGGCCACGGACAATACATTTGCCACAACGGCAGCGGCGGCTTACCCTCCTGCCATGGATCACTGGCTAGCATCGACCCTCTTTGACCATCTTCTGAAGGGGGGATCTCACAAAACGGCCAAAGAGAACGAAGAGAACGAGGGGGAAAACTCACCTCATTTGGATCATAAAGATTCTGAAGGTCACCCTCCTCATCGTCGACCAGATCCTGAAGATCTCGAAGGGCAACCACCTCGTCACCCTGGAGGAGGCCAACGTGATGGTGCTCTCGGTCAAGGAGAAGGCCCGGCGGACGCTGAAGGTGACGATTCTGGCGTTGTCGACGGGCAAGGTGGAGCTTCGGAGGAGGTTGAGCCTCCATCAAAGAGGCTTAGGCAGCAACCAAACCTCCCAAGGCCTTCTGGACGAGGTCCCTGGGCCCCACACCAAGTCTGGTATAAAGGGAAAGCGAGGAGGATGGTGGATGGGCTTGGGCTGAACTCCCCAGGCGTCAGGCCCGTGGGGCACAGACTTCCTTCGAGGAGCTCAGCGGCATCGAGATTGGCCTCTTCGTTTTGGGAGGAGGTGGACACTTACGTGACGGAGTTGGGAAAGAAAGGGAGGCTGAAGTTAATTGCAGAGTTGGCGCTGGGCAGGCACGACAAGTCCCCCTTTGGCGACGTGGTCGACGGCGTGAGGGTGAGGCTGGACAAAGTGGTTCGTGACTTGGGGCAAGAACCTCTGCCCAAGAAGGGGGACATCCCTGCAGAGATTGCGTTCAGAAGGGTCCTGGCCTGGGGCAAGATCGTGGAGGACGCAGACCATCGCTTTGACCACTGGCGTGCCGCTTGGAGTTCGAGGGGAAATTCCCTGGGTGGAGGCGGTATATGACAAGAAGCCGCAATCTGAGGAGGCCCAGGGGTCCCGATGGGAGGAGGATGTGGAAGAGGCCATCATCAGAGAAAACTATGCCTCGGCTAAGGAGCACATGGACAAGGTGAAGGGGCACGTGCTCAAGGACGTTGAGAAGGGCTGGATGGTGGAGGTCAGCAGAGCAGAAGCCGAAGGGCGCTACGGGGACGAGTTGCAGGTGGCTTCATTGGGGGCCGTCCCAAAGGACAAGCACTGGGCGGATGTCAGGGTGGTCCACGATGGTACCCACGGGCTCAAGGTCAACACACGCTTGAGTCAACCTAATCGGATGGCTTTCCCTCAGTTCGACGACTTGGAGTGCGCGATGAGGGCCCTCAAAGAGCATGATAGCGGGGCGAGATTCCTGATGGCCTTCGACATCAAGTCGGCTCATAGACTTATCCCAGTCCATCGCCGAGATTGGGGGCTTCAGGCCTGTCGATTGGAGGAGGAGGAGAAGATATACCTGAACACCCGAGGAACTTTTGGGGTTGCCAGTGCAGCCTTCTGGTGGGGACGCCTAGCAGGCCTCATCTTCAGAACCTTCCACAAGGTGATCCCCGTGGAGGCCATTCTGTACCTCCTTTTGTTTGCGGATGATGGGTTGCTGATGGTGGGAGGTGCAGAGTGTCATCGGTTGATCATAGGTCTCTTCCTGGAGGTCATGGAGGTCCCTCTGTCGTGGGCCAAGACACGCGGAGGCTCAGAAGTAGAATGGATAGGCTATACCGTCGACCTCAACACCTGGCGCCTTGGAGTCGGTCCAAAGAAGGTGGAGTGGCTGAAGACGTGGTGCTCATGGGCGGTCTCACAAGGCCGCATGCTGGGAAGAGACTTCAAAGGAGGACTGGGTCGGCTGGGGTTCCTGGCCGGCATCTCAAAGAGGTCCCGACCCTTTCTCGCGCCACTTTACGCTGCCTCCTCTCAGGTGAAGGGCGGCAGTTTCTTCAATCTCCACCTGGCCACAAAATTGGCCATTCAGTTCTTTGAGGACGCCATAGTGGAAGCTCCCATGAAGCCGCTGTCCGACACCCCTAAGGTCCTGGGGGAGGTGTTCCGAGTTGACGCCATGGCCGATGGGGATGGTGTTGCGATCGGGGGTTGGGAAACGTTTGTCACCTCCAACCCGAAAGAAGCACGATGGTTCCACTTGAAACTTGACAGGAGCACAGCACCTTTCTTGTACGTGAAAGGAGAACCTTTCAGGACCATCTCCACCACAGAGCTCTTGGCGGCAACGGTTGCCGTGATGGTCTTTTGCCCTGGAGGTGGCTGGCATAAAGGGGCAGGACGCGTGGCCATCACAGGCTTCACAGATAACATGTCGAACTCCTACCTCTTGGATCGGTTTCTCACGACAAAGTTCCCGGCATGTTTGATCCTCATGGAGCTCTCCAAGCAATTGGACAAGTATGGTTTAGATTTGAACCTCACCTGGATTCAGAATGAAGAGTCAGACGACCTTAGCAAACAGAGATTCGACAAGTTTGACCCCAACCATCGAGTTCAGGTGAACTTCGCGGAGCTCGACTTCTTGATACTCAGGAAGATGTTGAACGCAGCCATGGAACTCGACTCCGAGATCAAGGAGAAGAAGACCTCGAAGGAGAAGGCTTTGAGCCGCTTTGGCAACAAGATCCCACCAGAAGAAAAGCTCAGGTTGACACAACCTTGGTGATCTAAAGTGGGGAAGGCAACCTGACCTTGGACTTGGCGATCCAAAAGATCGAAGAGAGCAGACACATGCAGCCGTAGCGAGCGTCCGGCGTAATGTGTCACGCGATCGGAGTGTGCGGCTCAAAGAGGCCCACCACACCCACCAGTGTGCGGCTCAAAGAGGCCTTTGGGCCAGGCCTCCTCGTGCCATGGAGCCGGGAAGGCAACCTGACCTTGGACTTGGCGATCCAAAAGATCGAAGAGAGCAGACACATAGATATATCCTTTCAATGGTTTTTCTTCCTTCAGCACCAAGCTGTGGGGGAGCTGATGTCCGGCACTCCAAACTCAGAGGTAAACATCCGACATCCGAATTTTTTAGGCCAGGTCCTCCACCCTGTGAGGTCACCACCCTGCCACTGTGACGTCTCCCATTTCAGCCGAACCGGTCCAGTCCGCCTGTCCAGTCCGCTCCAGTCGTCGCCTCAGGCACGACTTCCTGTCGCTCTTCCCACGGACCTTTGAGCTGTTTGGTCCCCGGAAGCAGCTGGTGCGGCCCCTACAGTCTTCCTCGGCGGTGGCTGATGGGGAGGAAGAGGTGATGAAGAGATTGGCCTTGGATGCTCGGAGGACAAGGGGACTGGCTCCACAGGCCCAGGTCACCTTGCCCATGCACAGAGGTATAAAACTATATATAATTGATTCTGTTCATGTCTTTATTGTCAGAGGGGTTGGGAACATCCACATATGGTAGATTTCTGTTCATGTCCCTATAGGGGTTGGGTCCCTGTAGTTTGAGCCTTGGCATGAACACAATGGCAAAGGATGTGTAAACCCTTAGCAACCAAACAGTTTACGCAAAAGTTCACAAGTTCACAAGTCTTTTTGTTCTGACGCTGCTGAAGACAAGGATTTTAAACAGAATCAGGTCTCTCGAACAGTGGCTGCACGTGGCACCATGGGGGAAGGCCCCTTTGCAAGCCTCAAGACTCCCTACACTCCTTGAAATCATGGTTACGTGGAGTTCACCACCTGTTTGGTATTTGGAACATCCGAGTCTTCCGGGGGTCATCCACTTCCGGATTTGTCCCTGCTTGCCTAAGCCCCACCTCGAACACCCTCCCTTCTCGACCTCTTCGTAAAAATGCATGCCTTCTCCCGTTTCCACGCGTGCGCGCCTTCTCAACCACGCCGCCCGCTCCCCACCAGAAAACCGCCCCATGGTTTGGACACCCCGAGGCCAAGCAACAAGGCGTGGTCCACGCGATGACGCCCATCGCCTCGTCTTCGGGCGCCGCTTCGGACAGGCGCGTTCGCAGCGTCCAGCCGTACCGGACCGGGATCAGAGTGCTGCGGACGTGCTGTACCTGTTACGAACTGGAGGGTCCAGAGCTCTAGGGATGTTTATAGAGATGTTTATAGACTTTAGACCCTTCAAACCCATCCCGGTCCAGTACCTTCTCAGGAGAGACCTTTTAAAGAGAGCCCCTTCCCCGCTCACTTTTCTGGAGTGTTGAACCGCTCCGAAGGCCACCTGTTCGGCCAGGATCCCCTGGTCCTGTCCTCATCACCTGGTTGTTGGCACCGAATCGCGGAACTTTCGAAGAAATTCCCTACCTGCCAGGTGAGGCTAGGGTTGATTTTGTCAGAGCTGTCCTCGACTGTAGCTGGGAACTGTCCAACAACGACACACTTGTTTTTTCTGACTCGTTTTTGTTTTCTCGGGGGACTCAGTGCATTGATCATCCAATGTTGGCGATGGGTTCTGCTAGGTCCTAGATTAGGGTGAGCGATTCATGCTTGCATGTCCAATGTCCCGCTTGACTCTGCATGGTCGCGTTTTGGAGTGATGTGGCGGTTTATGAGGTGATCTGTATTTTCGAAGTTCCCGTTTGTTTCAGATTCGTTTGCACAGGGAAGACCAAGTGGTTTCCGAGATCGGGCGACGGAAAAATCGAATCTGTTCGAATTCCCTGGGACCGATTCCCTTGGAGGGTGGGTCTCCGGAACCAAAACAAGGGCTAGCAGCTTCAGTAGCGTGTCAGAAAGAAAGAACGCATGCGTACGGGCCATCCGCTCGAACTAGACAAACCTGGAGTGCTCAGCAGGGATGGGGTCAGACTCGGGCCACAAAATCATGGCTCAAGTCGTCCCGCTACCGCTGGTTCGTCGCCACCATCAGGTTGACTGCAGCAACTCCAGAATCTCACTTGCAGTTGATTTCGCGGAATCCAAATCTTCAGAACCCTCAGGGGGCTGATGATGGTGAAGATGATACTCAAGTAGATGATTATGTCGATGGCTTGGTATGTTGACTATTCAACTGTTCACCTTACAGTATATCAGCACCCAGTCTGGACCTATCCCAACATGAGGCGCATACAAGAACTTCTTTGATTCGTCACTGCTTGAACAGGTTGTCCTTTAATGGTTTCATATGTTCATTCAAAGGGCCCATATGTACTGTTGTCCCTTGCTGGAGGACATAGACATAGACACTTTGAGCATATTTTCATAGATGTTTGGTTAGGACATGTCCTCCTAGGACATTCAGCACACCTTGGCGGACACCTTGTACATCCCAAGCCGATGCGAGCCAGAGGGCCCCAGAGGGCGGCTTTGTGGAGCTGGTCGTTTCGGGGAAGACGACGACTGCAATCAAAGCCCTGAGAAAGACAGGGCTTTGTGAAGGTTGTTGTTTAATCTTTTTTAAACTCTATATTTTCTGAAAGACTTCTGAAGATACCGGAAACGTTTCTGTTTCTTGTTCTGCAGGCTTAGACTCCCAAATCTCTTCAGACCCAACCGAACACCAAAGTCATACAAGCAACCTGGGCTGTAGGACTTAAAATTAGAGCATCGGGTCCTCAGCGTTTGGCCTTGCATGAAGTATGCTAAGAGATGAGCATACGATGTCGATCTTGGGTGAATCAACAAGTGTATGTCTTAGTGATTCTTAGTGAAACAATGTGAAACATATACCAAGCAAATGCCAAAGGGGTAACTGCCTCCGAACAGAACCCCCTTCAGCAGCTTTTGTATTTGATGAAGAAAACGGTTTCCAGCCCAACAGTGGGCGGGACACGAATAGAATATGCACATCCCCAGGGTCCATCCTGGGTCCATCCATGCATCTGGCCCCCAAAGGCTTATGTTGAGTTAAGCATAGTTAAGCTTCCACAGGGTCTAATCAAAAAAGACAAGTAGGAGAAAAAACAACAATGCATAGAAATGACTATCACGTTTTCGGCGCAAGAGCTGGTCGTCCACGGCGATGTGCAGGTCCAAACGCTCCAGTGCGATGTCCTATGCCTCCAGGCGCTGAACATTGGGCCAGTCCGGTTGGGGAGTGTCAAAGATCGGGGTTTCAACAAAGTCACAAAGTCAAAGCAATTTTAATATATATATATATATTATAAAAAAAATGATATCATATTGTCATATGCTACATTATAAACATATATTAAACATGGTACATACATAACAAAAGAAGAATGCACACTAAAATGCAACATACAAAAATAGCATGTATCTCATGTTTTGCACCTGACCATGTCAGCTGGCCGCACGGTGCCAGACCCACCTCCGCCGGTGCCTGGAGCCGCCCGACCTCCGCCTCCGTCACGGCGTCGCGGCCGGCCTCGGCGGGCTCCTACCAGGTGCGGGGTCAGGAGTCACCGGGCGTGAAGAGATCTGAAGAACCATGTTTTACCATGTGAAGAGATCTGAAGAACCGGTGAAGATTCTGATTTCAGTTGTTTTACCATGTTTTACTCCTTTTTTTGGTGTTTGGATTCGCATTTGATGTGAGAACCCCACCGCTGGAAGGTGATGTACCTCTCCAGGAACATGCTTCAGCCCCCCCCAATTACAACCAGGGGTCGGGGGTGTATCTCATTTCTCTCCTATGAAGCCCAACTCCAAGTCCAAACATCCAATGAATCTCCAAGACATGCAGAACTGGATGGAGATGCATCCCGCTCCCCTCATACCCACACTCCACAGCTCCAGGCCCTTCGCAGTCGCCCCACCTCCGCGACCGCTGGGCGCACCTCGCGGCCCAGCAGTGCAGTGCTTCGGCCCAGTCGACCGGCCTCCGCCGGGTCGTACCAGGCGAGGGTGTTGGTGGGGCTGTGTGTGGGTTTTTCTCTCGACTCTGCCGGTGTTTCGCGGTCATTTTTGATTGTTGGTTTTTCTTATGGTTTTTACTATAGTTGCTTTTTCCTGGACTGATGCAGCGTTCTTGTTCGGGCTTCAGGGCCATACATGAGAAGATGTTTCTAGGCCATGAGAAGTGGCTTTTACAGTGGATCAAAGGGGGCCAAAGGGGCCGAAACCGCATGGGGGAAAATCTCTGATGTTCGTTCGGAATCCTTCCGCCGGTGGAACGAGCATTGAAGGATTCGGTGGGCTGTTCGGTGGGCGTGAGATCGAATGGGGACGAACGAAGGACACGGTTGAAGGACGGTTGGTGACCTGGTGGATGTCGGTGTTCATCTTGGTTTCACGATGCATCCAAGGAATTCCTTTTGCCGACAATCTTTCCAAGCATTTGAATCGTTTCGAATCTAAGCATCTATAATTACTTGGCAGCTTTCTTGGGCTTCCAACTTCTTCTCAGATCCAGGCCATGAACAGTGCAAAGAATCATGGCATATTGCCGCGCCTTGAAGTGATTGTGTAACGATGACATGTTTTTGTGAATCTACTGGCGCCGGGCCCGACAGATCTCATGGCGCCGGGCCCCCGTCCGGCAGTTTCCGCAGGTGCATGCTGGCCGAGCGGACTGGCCAGGCACGGGAACCGGGCAGTGGGAGTGTCGGTGGGACAGAGTGGCACGACGGTCGGCTGAGGAAGCCAAGGTGTTTGGCTCAGGTCCCTAGTGACCCACTGATTTAGATCCTCTGAAGGCTGACCTCGGATGGATCTCTTCAAGGATCACTTGGAAGAAGAAGTCAGGTATGTGTTGAACAAACATACAGAGAGACTCCAGACATTGCTCCAATGCAGGCATTTGGCCACATATAGTGCCGCATATGGCATTCTCACGAAAGGTGCTAGGTTGTGATGTGCAAGGCTGGTGGGTCTCAGCAGATCTACAGGTTCATGTACGACTCGTCCCTCATCCTACTGGTCGTGTTGATACAACAAGATCGGGAAACCCAATCCTAACCAGAAACAAAAGGATTTTTCCACACACAACCATTTTCTTATGCAAAGGATCTCGATTGCCGTATCGGAACCATTTGTTTCCGGTTGTTTGGATTTCCAGGAAGATGGGGAAGATGCACTTCTTAGACATCCCTCCAGAATCCTCCAGATGGAATTCCACGAACCCTTTCCAAGTTCGCATCGACATTCACTCCGAGACGCTTATACTCACACAGTGCTTTAGGGTCTTGCGGGGAAAAACGATCGGATCGCACGGACACGGCCTGCCGCACAAACCGACTGCATGGGACACGGATGCGAAACGGCCCGCCCGCCATGCGCACGATGCCTCACGATCGCCGGCGATGCGGCGGCGGGTGTCAGGAGAAGCCCCTTGGAGTGACGGAGCTCTTGGATGAGGCTCTCGTTTCAGGTTTCACACCGATCAAAACGATCAAAACATGCTCATCCCCAGGCATGTTTTGGCAAGTGTTTTTGGCAGTTGTCGATGTTTGTGTTGACTCTAGATGGTGAACACCTGTTAAACCACTAAGGTGTGTTGTTTTTCAAGGCTTTTGCCTTGTTCAGGATCTGGGGTTGAATGGGTATCCCTGTAGCAAGTTGTACAGCCCGCACGCACAGGACATGTCTGCATTGTGCAGGTCCGAAAAGAATCGAGTACTATATAATATATTGAAGACCTCTTGCTTAGCATGGATTTTGCTTGGGTTGGCGAGGCACACTGCATTCATTCCTGAACTTAGGCTTTCAGGTTGGGAGGTGCAGAATTCTGCAGAAATCCCATGCAGAATTCAGCCCGGCCCGTTGTGTGCCACGGAATGCACGTCGGATCTCGCGTGGCATCTCGTCCGTCGACGTGCCGCGAAGAAAAGACATGCCGAAAGAAGGTCATTTTGACGGGATTCGGGCCCAGGGGGTTGGCACAGTTGGATGCCATTGAGGCAATTTTGGGTGGTTCATTTGGTCATTGGATGGGAAAGTACCTGGTAGGGGGGTTCTATGAACTACCCGGTAACCATCCCTTGGATGGTGCTGGTGATGTTTCGCTTTCCGCCAGATCCGTCAGAGTCAGCCCCCCCTTCCCAGAGATATCACAGTTGCCCGCAACCTGCACGTCTGACTATCTGGATCTAGTGAAGGCCATCATCCACTCTTTAAGAATGGATCCGTAGTGCAAAAGCCTTCTTCCTTTATATAGTTATATGAGAGGTGATTGATTTACAACTCTTATTATAGCTTTCTACAGGGTGATGTTTCCAGAGGTGTGTTCTGTGCCATTGAATCATTGGCGTCCCTGGCCCAGCCTTGTGACCACTCCGTCCAAGGCTCGAGGCTCTCCCAAAAAGCTGCGGGGGTCGTCGACCATCTGACGACCATCAGTCAGTGGGAACTTGAGATCGGAATTGGTCACCCCACCTGAAGGGCCGGTCACATACAGGGACTCCAGGTCGGTGGAACTTTCAGGTCGTAGATTCTTTCCGGTTCACCTTGAGGGAGTCGACTGGGGAGATGGTGGACCCACATCTATCACGACGCTGTGGTGCATCGATCGCCACTCCGGGCGTCCTGCAGATGTTCTACGTACTCCCATGCAAGGCGGCGGCTGCCTTGCGAGATGTGGGTGATTCCAAGGGAGAGGCCAGAGTTGAGTCAAGGTTCCGGCGAAAGAAAGCTGTGACTGCCCACGACCCGCCTTTCGGAGGGGATCTCAGTAGGTTTCAGAGTGTTTCCACTGATCTTGGGGAACAACCCCACCCATTTGGACGTGGGGATGATTGGCTTTGGACGTCAACCCTGCACAATCCTTTTTGTTATCTTTTGTTCGGAATTCTTCTGGGTGAGGGTTCTGACTTTTTGCGGCCTTTCGTCACGTGGTCACGGAGGACCATGGAGGAGCCCCTGTACAAAGCCGACTGATGAGGGCTTCGGAACTCCGCAACAAGTGCCCTTCTCCAGGCCTTCACACTGCTGCACGAGGTGGCCAACGCCTATTTGGCACGGAAGGAGGCGACGAAAACAGAACTGGGACTGGGCTTAAGAAAAGAAGCTGGTACTGGGACTGGGACTCAGTAGACTGACCCTCCAACCCAATTAGGAATGGCCTCCAACCTAATTACTAGCAATGGCCTCCAACCTAAAAGAAACTGGTATACCGTCCAGGCATTCTCTTTCAAGAGGGTCAACCATCAGCACACACGCCGCCCCTGTAGGTGGACTCGGCGTTGAACGTGGCGTCCGCAGGGCTACGGCTGCTGCGGCAGAGCGAGGACCTGCCTGGAGAGCTTGCGGCGCTCAAGGTGGACCACGTAGACCCGCACGAAAAGTCGGAGAGGTCATGCTTGGTCGCTGTGGGGCAAGACTAGGATGGTCATATCTTCCCCTTTTCTGCTGAGTTTCAACCCACCTGTAACTTCCTCACTTTTGTTCACAGCCCCACCGCTCCACGCTCCAAGCTCCGGACCGTTGCTCCGCCGCAGACCACCGCGGAGATCCACCTCTCGCGCGGCGACACCGAGCCGTGCCTTCGTTTGCTGCAGGAGGCCGGGGGAGGTCGGGAGGGGGCGAAGGGGAGCAGAACATGGAGCTCACGGATGGTCCTGGACCCTGAGGACCTCAGGATCCCTAGGGTTTTGTATGGTTGGAAATGGACTGCTCTCTCAAGGTGGCTGGGGGAAATACTGGTCCATCGGTGTCAAATCACGAGAGCCCTGGCCTGGCTAGGCACCTTTGAACCAACGGTTGCAAGCCACACACATCACATCCAAAAACACCTGGATGTTTTTCAGCCAAATGTTACATGTCGTTACAAGATGTTACAAGTTCGTTTTCTGGGCCAGCGAGATGGTGTTACCGCCCGCCGAAAACGCGGCGGGCCTGCGCCGCAGAAAACGAGGTGATCTCGCTCGCGCATGACTCTGGAGACGTTTTGGACGAGGTGGGCGAAGCGATTGCTCCGATCTCCTCGTCGCTGGTTGTCCTCCCACCTGTCGAACGCTTTCGGTCGCATGGGACGTCGGTGAATGGGGAGTCGAAAGGGAATGGCAAAATGCCGCCTTTCAGGATCCCCGGAGCCATGTTGATATCTCACCTTTATACATAAGTGCCCAGTATACACTGAGTTGCCTACGCTTGGGGTTTCGCAGGGCGAGAATTGGTGGGAAGGGTGGCTTCGCGAAGCTTCGCGCAACACCAGACGCTTCGCGAATTGGTTAGCATTGCGAACTGGCTTCGCCTCTGTGAAATCCCAGAGACATTAAGAGACTATGCCTATGCCAGAGGCTTCGCGAGCCTTCGCCACACATAATGTATCACACAAATGTCTTTGCAAACATTTGGTGAGTTACGATACAGTCTAATCATGTCTAATCCAAGTTTTCCAAAACTCATTTTTGTATAGGTGTATAGGCCCAGTGTATAGGTATGCTTCCAGTATATAGACCCTGTAGTCACCAAAAAGAACACTCATATGGCGCCATTTGCCCTGGCAAACCACGACGCATCGATCCCTGCGACGACCGATTTCCGCACATCGATCCCTGCGACGTGCACGGTGTGGAACACCTCCCAGTCACACCTTAGGGGTTCTGACGGTAGTTAAGGCCGGGTGTTTGATCAGATTTGATCGATTTTGTTGTAATTTCTCAAGAGGGGGTGTTCGGATTGATCCGATTTTCACCGCTACTTTCACTAAAGCCTCATATATTATATATCGTGTCCTTCATTAAGGCACATGTTGCACTGCACGTTCGCACCTTTGGTCGCCGCTGAACATGGAGCCATGTTCTCCATGTTCTCAGAGGCTCCGTGAAAACAGCCCTTTCCCGGTCCCTCAAAACCTGGGGATTGGTTATGATTGGTGAGAACCCCAAAATAAGGGTCCGACTTTGGACCACTAACCATCGAGCATATTGCCTCTTCCTCTATGTAACAACAGTCACATGGGTTCTATGTTGGGCATGCAGTCCGCTCGTGGGTCTACAAACCTGTGGTATCTCATTTAGTAGAGCAGGTCTGGATTCTGGGGTGGCTCCGCTCATATAGTTCCAGCTGCAGCGAGAAACCCTGCCAGTCCACAATGAGGTCTCATCTCCAAAGAAGCTAGAAACCCCTTTTGGAATGAATTGCTGACATCTACAGCACAAGACCCTTTGAATCTCGCTGACATCACAACACCTCAATGCCACTGCAAGGAAGTAAAACCAAGTCGTCCGTGTGTTTCACAACCCCATGTTGCTTGACCCCAAACAGAACTGCCGTGTCACCCCAGGTGGATGCCCATGTCACTGCTGCACGTGTCCGTGCACTGCGGAGTGAAGGCGAGGAGGCCTTGGCAAGCGTGCAAGCAGCAGGCAAAGCAGCGGCCCAAGCGTCGGGAGATACAGCCGCAGAGGCCAAAGCGAAGCTGGGCTTGGCGAAAGTCCTTCAAGCGAAAGGAGAGCCTTGGATTGAATATCTTGCCATTGAAAAGCTCCCAAAAACTCCTTGAAATCGGTCGTCTGTGGAGGGAGGGAGAGAGGGAGGGAGGGAGTGAGTGAGTGAAGACCACCTGCATGGTCGAACATCGGGTCCATCCGACCCTTCCGGTGTCCCGTCTGCACCTGCGCCTGCGGAGCCGGTGTGGCTGCGGGTCGACGGGAGGAGGTCAGTTGACCAAAGATGAACAGGTCCAGATCAGACGCATGGGACTGGGAGAGCTACATACAGGGTTCAATGGGAGAGCTACGTAACTATTCCAGTCCCATTCGTTTGGTCTGGGAGAATAGACTGACATACCGGCTGCCGGGTCACACATGCCGGGTCACCCACGGGCCCTCGTCCGACGGTTGCCGGCCACGGGATCGATCTTGTGAGAAGGGCCGGCCTGCTTTGGCACGTGTGGAGTGGCTGGGGGCAGCTGGGGTTCTGTTGATTTTGTTTGGCATGCAGCATCCAACTCAAGAAAAGAAGGTCTCTAAAGATTCATAAAAATTCTAAGGACTGAACGAAGAGAGTTGTTGGAGTTTCCAAAGGGTGCACACTGGAGACTTGCTTATTTGGGATGCTTGACTGATCATGGCCAGTTGGAACCACTCTAAGGATGACATCGCCTGGGTGTTTTCATGCGTCCAACTCATGTGAAGCACCGAGAAATGCAGGATCTTCTAATATGGTCCTGCGCCTCCTGGTGCCATGCAATGGTGCAACATCATCATCCCAACAAGCGCAATCAAGTTGGGCTAACCATGTCCAATTCCATTTCGATGTATGTTTAGCCGAAGCAAAGGGTTGCTGAAACAACAACATCTCTTCAGACCTTGCCTTTTTTATCCGATTCCTTGCGTAAGTCGAGGATGTGGCGGGCGCTGGTGAAGCGGCGCGAAAGGCAGCGGCACTCTTCAAGCAGAAGAAGTTTAGCTCTGGGGAGCTTGTGGCCTTAGGCCTGGCCTGGAGATGCGGCTCGCACTGCATTCGCTTTCGTTTGTGTTTGTTAGTTCTAATTATTGAGTCATGATGAGTCATGTCCAATGTCTTTAATGTTGTTGTCTTTTAATGTTTGTTTTTTTCCCAATTGTTGTAATAATAGTATGTGTATGCATGTATAATGTTTGTTTGTGTTTGTGAGTCTTTTGTGTTTTGTGTTTGTGCCCGATCCCCAAGCCAGGCTAGATTGACCTCTTCAATAGTCCATTCATGTCCGTTCTGTTCTTCCTGTCGTGTCGAAGAGTCTCGACCGGTACTCAAGGCATTCTGCCTTAAGCCCAACACCATGTGAGTTTGTCACACATGAATCCCACCGAATTGAGCCTTTACTAACCATCATCATCCACTGTTACACAGAATAGGATATACCCAACTGACTCCTATCATGGATACTGGATCTTCAGATCTGATGAAAGGTATTGAAAGCACATGTCACAATGGTGCTGTTCAGGTGGTGTAAACAACTCAAAGACCGTTCATTCGCCACCCTGTTTTGAAGAGTGCACATTGTGAAGGTTGGCAGTGTGGTATTGAGGCCAACATGACTTCCCACGCATGTTTGGATCCCCCAAAGCTTTGCTGCATGAGATCTCCAAGGAGCATCTCCCTCCACTCTGATGAACACCTCACATGGAAGTAGATTTTACATGAATTTTCTGTAGTTTACCACCTGTTCGTAACGGAAAGTGGTCATCGAAGGGGTCATGTTCCACTTTCATTTGATGTGTTCGTCAGAGTGTAAGTTCCCACCATCATTCACTTGTGTCGATCATGCGCCTGGGAGACGTGCGGTCAAATCCCCAAGCCGTAATCCCCTGGTAGGTTAACCTCCCTCGTTGTCTATTCAAGTTACATTCAATTCGATGCATTTTCGGTGGTCAACTCGACCAGGGTTTCCTAGTTTTGACCCATAGCCATATTGGCCTATAGAGATACCTTAGTTTCCCGGGACAAACACTCCATCGGACTGGAACTGCAATATGAGGAGGACACTTGAAGACATATCGCTTCTTTCAGATTGGATGAGTCAATCTGGTTTCACCCCCCAAGCATGTGTGCTTTGTTGCCAAACTCTCGAAATCATCCACAAAACATGGAGAATCGAACCAACAAAAACAAAAAAAACACAATCTTGGATTGGTACAGGCAGAAAAGCCACATGTGACATGTGGGATGGATTCCGCAGAATCCCCCAGCGAGCCAGCAGACCCCATAATGAAATACTCACCTAACACTCACGATATTTTGTTGCACCTGTGAAAGTTTGGGTCAGAATGTGAACACCATGCCACTTTGTCAAGGATGTTGTTTTTGAAGGGTGTATCTTCAAGTTCCATGTCAGTCTTAATGGCCCGGAAGTCTTTGGTTTGGACATGACACAGTAGGGAACATAGCATGGCATCCAGGGGCCCTTAGAGCTGAGACCCCCAAACTGCCAAGCACCGGATGCCATGCGCAACTGCCGGTCTTACCGTACTCATCCAAGACTTTTTTTTTTCTCTAAGAGGTGCCTTTCCATGCTGGCCCTATATATGGTATGGGTATGATGGGTCACGGCACTCGAAAAGGCCCACCATGTAGATACGTAGCGAACGACCGACACCAGGGGGCGGTTGTGCCCGGTCAGTCTGCTGGTGCTATGACTTCCAGCCATAGTACACGGCCTCCAACCCAATAGCAATGACCTCCAACCTACTAGCGATGGCCTCGTAATGCATCGTAAAGAATCCCATCTTCTCATCCACATTCCGAGGCACGCCGCCGGCAGAGGCCACTAAGGCTGCGCTGGAAGGTTCCAAGGCATTGAAGGCGACAGACGTCCGTGGAAGAAGTTGGGGCCGGGCTGCAGGCTGTGCAAGCAAGAAACTCAAACGGGCTTAGTTTTCCAACTGGCCAAAATGCTTTGAGGCCAAAGAAAAGGGAAGATATCGAAAAAGTTGGAAGACATAAAACCAGTTCGGTCAAAAAAGGGTTCTGGCTCAAAACTGCGACGTCAAAGTGGTTTTGCTTATCTCAGGTTATTACTGCATATTTTGGTGGTTTCTTTTTTCTTCCAGCTCCTGAAGCATCCTTCTCCTTCTCCACCCCTTCCCCAGCTCCCACCTGTGCACCGCCGCCGAAATCTTCGTTCCGCTTCACGCTGTTCGGAGTGGACGTCGGTTCGGAGAAAAGAGACGGTCCGCCTTGGCGAACTTGTCCCACTTTTTGGACAGACTATAATATAGTTCAAAGGGTTGGGTACTCATTCTTCTCAATTCTTCTCATTCTTCTATTCTATTAGTAAGTGACCTGAAACATCAACATAGTGAAACAGCCACTTTGAAGCTTCGAGTTTTCCAAGCTTCGGTTGGATCCGACCGGACACGGAGTGGACCGGAAGACGAGCGGAGCGGACCAGAAACGGTGGCCGGGGGGGGCATGGTCACTCCGGTTTCTATACGTCAAACAGCAGGGAGGGTGGACACCCGTTTGGCGTTTGGAGATTTGAATTTGATTAACATGTCAATAGCATGATGCCTTAACAATGACCCCCCTTACACTGGAGGATGGCCGGAACGGATGCCATTTGATGCGTCCCTTTCTCGCATGAGAAGAGAAGAGTAGCATCCTTCAAGGGTTCTGCACCGCAACAGGTGCATTTTGTGCACCTTTGACTTCGAACACCTCCTCCAAAGGATGTATATATACTGCTCGAATCAGTTCAATTGCCGATTCTTCTATCATATTTTCTATCAGACGTGGACAAGAAAAGACACACAACCAAACAAATCATTTGATTCAAGAAAGCTCCCATCCATGGCCCGCTGGATCCCCCCCACACCGGTCTCTCCGAGTGATTCCTGGCGTCTCTCCGACCCGGTCAGGCCTCCGGTGACCTGGAAGGCGCGGCGGAGGCCCTGCTGGAAGCGACGGAGTTCAGCTTGGTCGAGCGGAAGGCTGATGAGGCCAAGGACGGAGAAGAGGTGATCAAGGTGAAACGGTGGGCGTTCCTATAGGTTTGTTGGAGAAACGGTGTTCACGTGTTTGAAGGATTTCGGTTCTGCATCCTTAGCTTCTTCCCTGCTACTATACTATAGCATACTATAGCACTAAAGGCTCTATACCATTGTAAGACCTCTTGCACCACCGTGGAGCAGCTCCGCTCGTTGCTCGGTTTCTTCCGCTCGGTTTGCACCGTTTCTCCGCACGCAGCTTCACACGCGGCGCTCGTTGCACCCGGTTCCAGGAGTTGGCGACCGGTGCCTTACAACTCTTCCGAGAGCCCGGGAACCTGTTCGACGTGAGCGCCACCTCGTGCGCGGTGCGGCGGTGCCGATTCCGCGTTCCGCACCTCTGGAAGAGGTGGGAAGGGTCACGACTGGAAAGAAAAAGAACGTCCACCTGGAATTCAGCGGAATCGGAGGCCTTTACCACCATTGTTTTTTGCTAATTTACTGTTGTACTATATAACTATACAAAGCGTACAAAGCCAGGTTAACTATAACTATACAAAGCCAGGTTAACTAATCCCTTCTTCTACCTATTAAATGATGGTCCCCCCGGAATCCCCCGGCCTTAAGCAAATCGAAACGTCGCCTAGGAACGTTTCATTAGTCATTTAATAACACTCGCATGAATAAAATTGAAACTAGACGACGAGTGGCCCGAACGCATTTTTCATCACGTAGGAAGTCAGAGTGCGAGTTATCCGGTAAGTGTGCGGTGTGAAGTGTTACGTAGGTTTCCTGCTAGTAGCTAGTAGCTTAGTGGCTTCAGCTAGATGTCCACACGTCATGAACATGTGAAACATGTGACGTGAACGGGTCATGGAGATTCTCGGTTACGGAGAGCATGCCCAAATTGGAGAGATAAAAGGTGCCCAGCATGATGTTCGATGATCTAGGTAATCGACATAGGTGGAGTGGAGTTGATTCGGCGAAACGAAACGAAACGAAACGAAACGAAACGCGAAACGAAACACGAAACGAAATACGAAACTAAACGAAACGTAGGTTCCCTGGTAGTAGGTTCTTGTTACTAGTAGTAAGGCCAGGAGCCCCTAGTAGCGTCCTTGTTACTAGTAGCTTCTTGTTACTAGTAGCTTCTTGTTGTCAGTAGTACGGCCAGGAGCCCCTAGTAGCACACGATCAATGTATTGAATGTTAACAATTCTACGCTCCACTTGTGAACGTGGCCTGTAAGTCCAGTGGCCACATGGGAGCTTTGACTTTGATTTAGCATCAGGCAGTTGGGCCGCAGTCGAGAACGTTGGTTTGCGGATTCGATCAGCGGTCCTACTACTCTTCGCAATCTCACTGAAAAAGACGAGCCGGAATGAAGACAGAAAAGTGCTGAGGCAGCCACGCAAGAAGTGTCTCGAAGCAGTGACCTGTCAGAGGAGATGAACGAAGTAGCGCGCAGGCCTCCCAAACCCCCACCGGCGGCCAAGCGGTGACAGCCCAGCTCATCGTCATGAGCATGTGAGCTGCTGGTAAGGGGAAAAGCAGCGTGCACGGCTGGCAGTGAATCTCACCGGAAAAAGCGAGCTGGAATGAACACAGAAAATGCTGAGGCAACCACGCCAGAAGTGTCTCGAAGCAGTGACTTGTCATTGACTAAGTGACCGTCTCAAAGAAAAACGCGACAAAGCAAAGAAAAACGCGACAAAGTAGCGCGAGGTGACGCACAGCAGGCACTGTAGATGTTTTAGCGTACTCTCGCTGTTCAGCTCCCGACCAGTTCTCATCTGGCCACTCCCCAGATACTCCGCGTACTAAAGTTGTACTACCAAGTCGCCAAGTGTGAAGTCGAGTGAGTTGAGGTAGTGTGTGGGTTTTTAGCGTACTCTCGCTGTTTTAGCGTACTCTCGCTGTTCAGCTCCCGACCAGGTCTCATCTGGCCACTCCCCAGATACTCCGCGTACTAAAGTTGCACTGCCAAGTCGCCAGTTCTCATCTTCCCACTCCCCGGCTGCTCTGCGTACTATATTTGTACGACCCAGTTCTCATCTTCCAGCTCCCCAGCTACTCCTCGTACTAAAGTTGTACTCCAAAGTCGCGAGTTCTCAGCTACTACCCACTCATCAGTTCTCATCTTCCCACTTCCCAGCTACTCTGCGTACTAAAGTTGTAGTACCAAGTCGCCACTTCTCATCTTCCAGCTCCACAGCTACTCCGCGCACTAAAGTTGTACTACGCAGTCGCCAGTTCTCAGCTTCCAGCTCCACAGATTGCTCCGCGTACTAAAGTTGTACTACAAAGTCGCCAGTTCTGAGCTTCCAGCTCCCCAGCTACTCCGCGTACTACAGTTGTACTACAAAGTCGCCAGTGCTCATCTCCCAGCTCCCCAGATACTCCACGCCCTCAAGTTGTACTACCCACTCGCCAGTTCTCATCTTCCCGCTCCCCAGCTACTCCGCGTACTAAAGTTGTACTACAAAGTCGCGAGTTCTCAGCTACTACCCACTCATCAGTTCTCATCTTCCCACTCCCCAGCTACTCTGCGTACTAAAGTTGTATTACTAAGTCGCCACTTCTCATCTTCCAGCTCCACAGCTATACTCCGCGTACTAAAGTTGTACTACGCAGTCGCCAGTTCTCAGCTTCCAGCTCCACAGATTCCTCCGCGTACTAAAGTTGTACTACAAAGTCACCAGTTCTGAGCTTCCAGCTCCCCAGCTACTCCGCGTACTACAGTTGTACTACAAAGTCACCAGTGCTCATCTCCCAGCTCCCCAGATACTCCACGCCTCTCGCCTGCATTTCGCGCACTCGACGCGCACGATCTCCGCAGAGGGTTGCGCGGGCACCCGCCACATCGCACTCTCGCCTGCATTTCGCGCACTCGACACGCACGATCTCCGCAGAGGGTTGCGCGGGCACCCGGCGAATCGCACTCTCGCCTGCATTTCGCGCACTCGACACGCACGATCTCC